GGGACTTTGACTATTTCTTTAGCCATGTCGGGTCCGAACATCTCATTTACAATGGCTTTGCAGGCAGGTAGTATTAATGACTCTGCTACAGTGTGGGATTTTTTGGATTTAGCTACAAGTTCAGCAACATGGTAGCTAGCTTTAAGGGCTCGCTCATTTACCTTTGTGGTTTTTCTCATAAAAATGGCCTGTTTCTTCGTGTGTTCACGCAGGCCAATAAAATAATCTGCATTCTTGTTTTGAAGCTATGGGTGTTTCGTTTGGAGATGGTGTTTAAGCTTGCTTGGGACCATAGCACTGTTGGATAGCTTTTCACCACACACCAAGCACAACGTCGGTGCCGTTGCATCCCCGGTGAAAGTAAATCCAAATAAAAGGTAGCTTTCGCTGTTTTGCCTCGAGCTCACCGTCTTTGTTTTCTTTTGACCTCCACTCATACTAGGGCCTTCATCTGGGTTCGAATTTTGTCCAGGGCCCAGTTCGGAGTTAACATTTTTCCTTTTCAAAAACTTCTCTATAGTCCCGCTAGCCACAATACTAGTGCGACCGCTACCTGTCCCATGCATGCATCACTAATTCTCTTGTCTTAAAGTACAATCAATCAACACAGTACAGTCAATTAGCTTACCTGTCGCCACCTACTGATATGGAAGAGTAATACATAATTACTTTGCCAGTGACACAGACACTCGAAAATGGCATATTATTTGCAGAAAATAATGAATTCGTTTTCAATTTTTTTTTTACCAATTAGGTAAAATTGGATAATTTCCCACGGTACACCCGACTATCTCTCACGGCACACTAGTGTGCCGCGGCACAGTGGTTGAAAAACACTGCCCTAGACAACCAGCCACCGTAGCACCCAACATGGCTACTGGGGCTATTATTATTTTACTGCAAAAGGCAATGTGCGATCTTCGGTCTCAAAGTAAGCATAAGCATAAACTTTATTGCCAAGTATTTCAAGAACACAAGGAAATTAACTCCAGCTCAATGGCGCCCAGTGTGCACAACATAAAAACTAAATAAACACACTAAATGTGCAGTGCACTACAGTAACGTTAACGTGTCTAACCTTCGTCAAATATACTAACGTTAATGCTATGAAGCTCCATTATTTGGCTCACACATGAACACAGAGATCACTCATTATTATAACTGTGGAGGCCCTGACCAGCCTGTTCTGTGTTGAGTGGGTGAAGCCTTACTGTCAAATCAGTGTGTTTGTATTGGTTGCTGCTATTTTGGGGGAATGCTGTGCTGTTCTGTCCAATGTGGGGTTTGGGGAGGGACAGGTGTGTGAGGGTATAAGAGGGGTAACAGGTGGGCGTGGAACATGGGGTGTTCTGAGAGAGTGTTGTTACTGCTTTTCTTTTGCTTTTCATTCTTCCTGTGAGCACATGGTGCCAGGTATATAGCCGTTTCATTCTGCGTTCTCTATTCTGTTCAATAAAAGCCAAGAAAAGACACAGAAGGTGTTCTCCTCATTATCAGCCCCTAGGCTGACCTTCTGCCAGCACACAGCTGGATAGTTAGATGTCCCAGTACAGGACAGGGTCAGACCAGCTGCGCTCATCCGAACCAGTGGAGCACCACATAACGTTTATTAGTTAGACCCAGCGTTAATTAGACAGACCCAGTATTATTAGCCATGTACCTGGCAGCATCGATAAACAACAGTGATCATGTCGTGCTCACAATGTAAACATGAAGTGTAATGATAACACGTCACCGTATTTATAATGTTGGTTATTTCACTGAGCGACCTTCTGTCTCAAAGTACAATACAGTGACAACGTTAACGTGTCTAACCTTGGTAAAATATACTGTCTTAATACACAATGAAAACACAGAATAAAAGAACTGTGTAGCCTGTAGCCTACCTTAAAGACCCGGTTCACTTGTTGGAAAAATTATCTTTTACTTTGTACATGCCACAATAAGATCATTCAGACTTTATCGCTCTCTCACAGCGACCTGTAGCTGCATTGGGAGCTCGGCCCTGCTCCGATGGAGTCAATGGAGATGTAGTCAATCAGTCACGTGCGTGAGTCACGCCGGACACGTGACTCACTGGGCTGTAAACACGGAAGGACACAGCGGAGAAAACCCGCAGAGGCTTTTGTCAGGGTATGTTCTCGCTTTAAGGGTACACAGCAGATTATTAGTGAACCTGTGAGTCTACGATTTGTGCCAGCGTTTGTGTGCAGAGCAAACACGATGTTGAAACTTGTAGTGAGCCTGGTTGTGGCCGTGTTTCTTACTAAGGTGGACTGCAGCTCCTTCCGGATGAAGAGAGTCACTAACGCACAGGTGAGAGTCGTGGCCTCGCTAATGTATACGGACAGTAAAGCTACTCAGTTCACTGTCAGTAGGAGAAGGAAGCCACACACAATCAGCAGCACCTTTACAACACATTGCCTCTAATAAAAAGCTATAATAACATTTATATTGTATGTTCAGCCATTAAATCAATAAACCAGAAAGTATAATCAGTATATTAACTGACAGAAATGCATTTGTACTTTCCAGGAAGCCATGAATGAGACTTGCTTTCAGTGATCACTGCAGTACAATGACAACAATAATATACTTACATAACGGGTTGAGTCAGGAAGCGCATCCGGCGTAAAACACGTGCCAAATGTCAACATGCGACTCGTTAGTGTGTCGATTCGCTGTGGCGACCCCTAAACGCGAAAAGCCGAAGGTGACTTTATTAATATATTTACATAACGCTTTACAAAAAAAGGTTGACAGACTGGTTCCAGACGTTAGAACTGATGAAAACAAGCAGAACAATCACACATAACATAATTTGTCTTGTCTGACTGTGCATGTTGGTTGTCGTGGACAGATCTTGGGTTTTGACTGGAAGAACTGTGGCCAGCCAGATGATCCAGCTGTGCTGAAGTCTCTAGTTCTGTCTCCAGACCCAATCACCATCCCAGGAGACCTGTCAGCCTGTACCTCTGGATCCACATCTGTCGAGCTGTTTGCTCCTCTGGCTGTGAGTGCACTTTACACTTTATACCTCAGCCTCCAAGGAAATTGAGATTAAAAGGCAGTGAAGTGACCGTGTTCCACCGCCTCAGAGACATGTGTTTGTGCTGAGGAGTCATAAATGCAGAACCAGCCAGGGGTGGTTTCATCTCCTGTGCAGCGAGCTGCTTGTTTGGTTGAGCTAAACCAGAGGTGTGGACTGTACACAGCACTGTGAACAGCTTCAGGCAAAGAGGATTTAAGAGGCTGAAAGTCTAGTTCATGTTCCATAAGAAAAACAAAAATGATTAAGAATTTGGAAATAAATATTGTCTCCGCAAGTTCTGAAAAGTCTTGAACTGTCCAAAGATCTGTTAGCTGAACTGGTTTATGTCTTCAGTTCATTTTTTCTGGAGAGGATTTTAGCCAGTCAAAAACAAACAGTCAAGATGTTCTCTCTCTCTTTTAGTTTGAGTCATTCAGTTTTATTTCTCTCTCTCTGGCATTAAAAATGTAAAATTCTAGATGTTCCTGCACAGCAATAAAAACACAACAATAAAGCCCAGTAAATTTTCTGAGCTCTGAAGCCGCAGCTCTTTACAACAGAACCATCTGTGCAGAGTTAGTTCTTTTACTGGCAGAATACTCACTCTTCATGTTTTTAAAATGGTTGTGATGAATGAATAACTAAAAAAATAATAATAAGCTGGTTGTTTGTGGGGTTCCTTTAAAGGACAGAGCAAACCTCTCAGGCTACTGAAGTCTGCAGAGGTTCTGTTTCTTAATTCTACTACCTGTTTAACTGGGACTTGAATTGTAGCCGTGCAGCAGTGTGAGTGCGTTTTGTGTGATTTTCTGGTGGGTTTATTGTTTTGGAGAGAAATGTTGTTATGCACCAAACGTCCAAGGTTAGACTTGAACTCCAGATGAACTGTTATCAGCTGGTTAATGAGTAGAAACATCCTCTGACCCACCCAGTTAGAGCTGGACTGGACGTGGCAGATCTCAGCTTGTTTCTGTTCCTTCCTCTTCAGGTCAATGTGACTCTAGAGAAGGAGGTGGCCTCTGTCTGGATTAAGATCCCCTGTTTGGACGAAGTGGGCAGCTGCCACTATAAGGACGTCTGTGACATGCTGAACCAGCTAATCCCGCCGGGCCAGGACTGCCCTGAGCCTCTGCATACCTACGGACTGCCCTGCCACTGCCCCTTCAAAGCTGTAAGCTGCTTTTAATCATCGAGGGCTTTTTTGACAGACTTGCATTTTAATGCCACATGAAAATATTGTAATGAATCTACATCATCCAAGTGTGAATATGTGCATTCACAGGCTAAACAGAACTGACCACGAGTCATGTGTAAAAGAGGTGAAATAATCCATAAGTGTTGTTTTCAGTGCTTATACTTATACTGATTTGCACTTTGCAGGGGCCACAGATTTTCCACTGGGCCCAAAGATGATCCTGCTTGCTTATTTCCCGTCTCTCTCTCCTCAGGGCTCGTATTCTCTGCCTCAGACGGACTTCTACCTGCCCTACATTGATCTGCCTTACTGGCTGACTAACGGGAACTACCGGGTTCAGGGAGTCCTGAGCTACCAGAGCAAAGAGCTGGGCTGCCTTACAGTCACTTTCTCCATCCGATCCCAGTAACACCAGCACTGACAGGTTTCTGTTTATTGGCACATAAAAGCAATAGCAAACTGGGAAATGAAAGCAGAATTTGCACAAAGATTTGAGAACAATAAACGTCACAGGTAAACCTCAGATAAACACAACATGGCAAATGGAAGCATTTTAAACAAACTGCGATACTGCAGCACAGCAGCTGTTGTTTAGGTCCCACATTTTACTAACTGGAGAATAAAAGCTCCTGTGGGAAAAATAATAAAAACAGACCCTTTTAATCTTAATCTAAATAAACAGGACCAATACACTATTTTTGGCTCTAACTCTGTTTCTGTGCTGACACAAAAGGTTTTGGCGTTGTGATTGAAAATCGGGCCAGTTTAAGATTAGTCTCAGCCATGAAACAGCACGTATGTCATTTTTATTCACAGTAACTGCTTCACTGTGCACGTTGCAGCAAGTAGTAGTGCCCTTTAATAAGTGAACAGGAAATAATGAAGAGCTGGCGTTTTAACTGAGATTCAGTAAGGATGTCAGGTACTTTCTTTTAAATAAGCTGGTTTTAACACTCCTGAATCTCTTTTTGTAATGAAATGCTCTAAAATGTTTTGATAATAATACCATTCCAGTCAAGAATCTTTGTCATTATACATAGCACCATACATTTTTTTCCGGCAGCTCTCGGCTTAAAAGACAGACGTATTATTCATCTGTTTGTGAAGCTGAAGTAATTTTTTAAGAGTGTTTTTCTCAACTAAAAGTTTTTCACTGTTGAGTGGAAGTTTAATACAGTGTGACTAATAGTAACCACATTCTGGGATATTATTTGAATTATTTCTTTATTTTACTGATTAAAAAAAACCTTCATGTGCCTAATTCGATCTGTAGGATGTGGAACTTTAGCTACAAGTTTCAATAAATGAACAAGAGATGAAAATAAATCATGAAGCAAGTCTGAGTGACTACATTTAGTGAATTCTAACCATTGAGTTGTATTTACAGAACAAACAAAGTTGTACCTTTTTAAAGTGGATTTTAAGGATAAATTCAACAGCAATGTGTCTGAATCAGAGTTACAGATAATGTGGCAATAAACTGAGTGTAAGCTGAAATCTAGTGATGGAGAAACCGAAGATTTCTGAAACACTTAATCAATATGAAGCAATTGTGTTGAAATGGTTTAGTGCATTTGATACAATCATATATGGCGCCATCTGCTGGCCAACCCTCAACACAGCAGTTGCATGGAACATAAAGGGCAAGGTGCCATGAAACTGTAAGGATGCTATGTTTGTTTTACAGTAAAGTTTCTATGTGCATCTTGAAATTTTGATTATTTCTTTTAAAGACATTAATAATCTCCTTCAGACTTTTTATGATACTGTAGTGGCATCTGCTGTTTTTTTACGTTGTTGTGGGTTGGGAGGGAGGTAGCACGGACAGGGACAGAAAGAGACTAAACAAGCTGGTTAAGAAAGCTGGTTCTGTCCTGAGCTGCCCCCTGGATTCCATCGAGGAGGTGGTGGACAGAAGGATGCTGGTAAAACTAACATCCATCATGCACGACCCCTCCCATCCCCTGCACCACACAGTGGAGACTCTGAACAGTTCCTTCAGCGCAAGACTGTTACATCCCCAGTGTAAGAAGGAGCGTTACCGTAGGTCGTTCCTCCCCACAGCAATCAGACTGTACAATACATCACTGCAGGGATAAGCTAGGTGAAATTATGAGGGACTATATAAAAGTAAACATTGCAAAACTCAAATCCTGGGGTAAAATGTGTGGCTAATATGTACATATGTAAATTCTGTTCTTGATTTTTCTCTTGAATAATTTATGCTGTCTTAAAATCTGGAACTTGTTTATCAAGATATGTGTTTGGGGCCTGTTCTCATGGTGTTATGTTTGTTCTCTATTGCTGCTGAAACACTGAAATTTCCCCTTTGAGGGATCAATAAACTACTTACCTACCTACCTACCTACCTATACTTGTGTCATAATGTGATCGTGCCGTCTGTGTGTAATAAAGATATGCCTATGCAAGATTGATAGAAATACAAAAATATATTTACAAAACACAAAAATCTGGAACTAAATTGGGAAATGCTTGTGCAACTAGGGGCTGTCATGTCAATAGTTGTACAAAATGCTGGTGAAGCTGTGAAGGGGATTTTGGGGTTCAAAGATTTTTATTTAAAAACCAGATCATTTCAGCTGAGTGAGGCTTCACTCTGTCCCTCCTCTCTGTTACTACCTCTCCAGCTTTGAAGACGACCCTTCCACATACATGGCACAGAAGTTTGGCAAGCTTGTCAAGATTAGGATGAACAGCTGCCCTTGAGTCCCAGTATTTTAATGGATCTTGTCCTCTGGAGAGGTGGAGCAGCTGGACTGGGTGTAGTCTGTGGATGTCTTGATCACAGGTGCCTCAGCATTGAAAAGGTATTGTTGTTAAAGGCCAGTTCTTGAGCACAGATCAGACACTTGACCTTTTTTGGGGTAATAAGGTCAAAGTGCTCCCACACATATGATCTTGCTCTTTTAAGTGGCCCTGCCTCCATTCTCCCTATCTCCTTTCCTCACTCTCTTAAACACTCACTACACACTTTCTTATGTTCTCATATTCACTTCACACTTATCTGCCAACTTACCTGTTATTCCTTCTCTGTATGTGTACTTAATATGTGTAAGTGTGTATGTAAGTATGTAATTCCATATGGAGAGTGTTTGAATGTCAGTGTGCCAGTGTGAGTGTATAACTGTATGCCAGTTTATCTAATCTTATGTTAGTCCTACCTAAACTTCACTCTCCCTGGTTGTCAATCGATGAAACTATAGCAATAACACACAAAAACCGACGCTGATACGTGTGTGACGTTTGTCAATCGATGAAACTATAGCAATAATGCACACAAAAACCGACGCTGATACGCATGTGACGCCACAAAGCTTCATTTGAGGAGTCATGTGATATCTCGCATGGTGAAGGAGGCATCTTCACATTTTGCCGTGATACTTCTGCTTTGAAAGATCGATACTGTGTTGAGCCATCTGCTTCGAGCATAGCATCACTACTGCAATCAAGTGGCGAGTCTTTAAGGTTTCTATGCATATGGGATCAATAGTGTTTGATTAATCTCATTTCATACGCAGTCCTCCAGCTTTAGGACACTACAGCAGATGGAACTTCAGTGTCACTGTGTTACACACAACAACAATATATAGCAATTCCCATAAAATAATAAACACAATAGCTTAAAGAACAAGTACATTTAAAACATGAATTTACATTAAAATAATCAGTAAAGCTCATTCATGGTTAGATTCCTAACCACCAGTATCACCTCCAGCCCAAACAATCAACTTTGCTCGTTTAACATCCTGCTTGCTTGGGGGGGGGGACGACTCTCATTCTCATTGTCTGAGGCTTGATGGGCCTGCTAAAACTAAGGATGTGTTTGATCCCCAATAATATTTGTTGACCGGTGTTTGCATTTGGACAATATCCTAAAAATACAAGTGACCCAACCAAGAAGTCTTTTTAAGTGACATGTCCATCAGTTACTTGATCTCAGTCCACCAGCTTTACAAGATCTCACTGGAAGCAGGTTGTGTTAATTAATTCTGTGAAAAACATGCAAACAGTAGAAGTTTCTTTTTATTTTTTAGCTATGAAAAGGCTGGGCACAGGACGTGGAGCCTGGAACTGTGTACAGAGGCACAGTAAAGGAGCAGCTCGATGTTTCACCACAAGGTGGCAGCATTTCCTCCGATAACCTGCGATTACTTCTGCTACTTGTGTTTCTGCATAGTAGCATTACTGCAATACTACAACACTAAAGTAAAACACACAGTGCAAATTATGACAAACTACACCAAACCCACACAAACCTAGATTTTGCACATTTCTGCAACTTTTACTCTATGTCTTAACATTTTGTTTCTGTCTGTGGTAAAGCTGAATTAAACATAACAATAAAACCTATTAAGCTTTAAGAAGCCATAACAATGCAACATCCTGGTTTCTTTATTATCATATCACAAAGACATTTGAGAGTAAAATCAGATGTTGGGTCATTGCAGCAGTGAATGTTGACAGGAAGCAGCAAAGAAACCAGAAAACAAAAGGAGGAAAGTGAGGAATTACACACAAAAGAGCAAACATCCAACAGACCCAGAACTGAGCTGGGCAGCTGGACATGGCTGCACAACGTCTCATTTCTACACCTGTTCAGTTCACAAGATAAAATCTGAATCAGATGTTATGTGTCACAGGATGTTGACACCAGGCACATACATGATCAGTTAATTATAATTCATTTTATTTAGGATTTCAATTTCTTATACTTGCATTGTGTGTCACGCTAGGAGGCAGGAAACAAGCTATTTAACTTCTGGAGTTGCTAATAGCTAACATGGTCAAAAATTGTATTACACATCTAATGGAAACAGCAAGAGGGTTTTGGTGTGTGCACAGAAAAATCCTGTTTTCTTTAACATGTTCATGTAATTTTAGTGGGAAAACAAAGCACATATTTTCAGCTTTTTTTAAAATGTGGATCCTCAATTGATTTAAAAAAACATTCTGCAAGCACTGTTAGAGCTTGTGAGTTTAAACTGTTTTGTCAGATATGATAAACTGGCAGTGTTCTGGCTCGGGGAGAACCCAAATACAGACACAAGGTAACAAGCAAGGTTTAATATAAGCAACACGAAGCAACTCAAGAGCTCAACCTGACTGTAATGTTATCTGTAGTTTGTATTTAAATGTCTTTCGTTTTTAGATTTCTTATAATAACTACGTAATGAACGGACATGAGACTGAATATTTACGCATTGAGCTGGTGTGACAACTCACGGTAAAATACCGTGTTGCTCTGCCGTCCACTCGTTTATTCACAGAATAAAAAAACAAAAAACAAAGAGAAAATCAACTTCCTGTGTCTCATACAATGGCGCCAAAAGGCCATCACAAATTAACCCTTAAGTAACCACAGGTTTACAATAAATTTCAATTCAAATGAACTTGACACTCAGCTGCATTACTCAAATAGAACAATTTTAAATCAAACTTATCCATATTACAAAAATAGCACTTACACTGACAAAAGGCAACAACTGCATCTAAAGAAAAATAACTAAACAGCACCCTCACGGAGTGAATACAGTGAAACACAAGCGAAGAACCGAAGGTCGTGAGCAAGAGTCCAAATCAACAAAGTCAGAACAGGAAGTAGGCCCAAACCATGACAGAAACCAACCTGAAAGATGAACCAGATCTACTGAGAAGAAATGTGCATCACTACACACACTGCAGTTAGTCCTAATTGGGTTCATATCAAAGTGAAAGAACTGAGTGAGAACTGTGTGGAAAGTAGTAACAAGGTCTTTGAACTGCATGGTCCCTGACAGCATAGTGACATCTGGCTTTATAAACCTTTAAAGAAACTCATCAATGTGCATCTAAGTCACCGCCTGGCTCAAGAGCAAGACCACAAGAACACTCACTCACTCTGATTAGGACTAAATATATGAAACACAAAGGTACAAGCAAGGAGGAGCAGGTTTAGTAGGTTACACTGTGTGTAATGTCAGTGTGAACAGGGTGTCAGTGAAAAACAAGATGAGCACGCAGGTTGTTTTATATAGTGCCCAGTGTCCTGTCGACTCAGGTGTCCTGCATCGTTGACGAGCTTTCAGCTCCACCTCGTCTACCTGAGATCAGAACATGCAGGTCATCAAGGGCCAACTTTACTGAGGTGTTTACTGATTCAAGATTTTGGCAGGAATTTTCATACAGTCTTAAGTTCTCATATTTAATCCTGATACACACACTTATACTGTATAGGCCTACACATGTATACTCACACACTCTTCCACAAGTACAGTTATTCTACTGCCATAAATCAACACACACACGTACTGTACGTGTTTAGAGGTGTTGTAATATTTATTTAATGTGAAAGTCGAGACGATGTGAGTGTGTCTGTTGTAATATTTATTTAATGTGAAAGTTGAGACTATGTGAGTGTGTCTGTGTGTGTGTGTGCATGCTGAGGAGGTCAGTCTGGGTGAGGTAGAGGAATACCCACAATCATGGGAAGAAATACTTAACCTTGCAGATATACATGCACACACAAATGTTATGACGCTGGTGTTTCCACTGTTTGGAGTTTGGTGTGGTACCTCTGTCAGCCCAGTAATATATCAGTTACAGAGCACATGCAGAGTGTATGTTGTCATATTATTGTGCACATTTCTTTTTGCTATGATGATATTAAGGCTACTCAAGTTGAATTTTTGTTTGTTTTCATCTGTGCATCCAGGTGTTATTGGTCTTCAGTTAATTTCAAATAAACAGGAAATGTGGAATCACTTTGTTTATAGACGTAGCAAGGTGCCAGGCAGTAATTTTGTGAATGATTGGAAACAAACACAATGTATCAGAGAGTAGATGTGGATGAGGATGATGAAAATCAAGGAAGGAAGAAGCCAACGGGATAAAGGTTCGTGTTTCTGTGCAGTAAACAGTCAGCTGAGCAGACAGAGACTGTCAGAACCCCTGCATTTCCAAAGACAGCCTGGGAAACAGAGGTGGGTGGTGAGGCTCGTGGTTACCGTTAACACCATTTAAAAGCATTTTAGCCTCAAAATTCCTCATGCATCAAGGCAATAATGGAACCCATCAGCTAGGAAATGAGCCTGCATGCAGTTTGGCTGAAAAAAAATCGAATTCATGACACAGAGGCACAAACCAAAGTCAAGAATATCCAGTTCATCCAGTTCATACTTAACTGCACAAATGAAAAATACCACATCACTCCTCACAGCAGAGATTGAGGAGTGACAGTAATAACTTACAGTCGATTCACGTCATATTGCAAAGGAGCATTACATACTCTGTGTTGTAGTGAGTGGAGGATGTGATATGACTGTTGTAGTGGAGAGTCCATTATGCAGAAGTCCCTTTATTCTGCAGCATTTCAAAGAAGAATTTCTTAGACAGGCCCAGAGATACCCACTCCTCTCCTCTCCTCTCTTCTCATGGCCTGCTTCTTGCCTGCTCCTCTCATTTCTTTTCCTGGTATCAGATCTTCTTCTCCTCTCTTCTTCACCTTTGTACTTCCACCCTGCTTTCACCTTCTCTGTCCCTCCTCCTTTCCTTTGCTTTTGCTCTCCTTTCTCTTCTTGTCTCCTCACCTCCCCTTTTTCTCTTTTGTTGCCACCTCTTGTCCACTTTCTAATCTCCTGCCCTTTTCTTTCATCTCATTTTCTTTTGTCTTATCTTTGTGTCATTCGTATTCCCTCCTCTCATCTTTTCTTTTCTCCTTGTCTCCTCTTCACACCTTTCCTCTCCTCTGCACTTTTGTTCTCTCCTCTTGTTTCCTCCTACCTTACTTCCTTTTCCTTTCCTCCTCCCTCTCCTCTGCAGGATTTCCTGTTTCTGGTCTCCACCATCATGCTGTTTCCTGTGACAGGAAACTCATTTGCAGATGCAGGAGAGGAGGCGAGGGACGAGGAGGCAGGATGGAGAGCAGGGGCTGAGGAGAAGAGGAGAAATGTCTGCAGAAATGTTTAAGGAAGAAGGGTGGAGAGGTCAAGGAGGCAGACAAAGAGGAGCAGGGAAGGAAGGTGCAGAGAGGTCAGAGGTCGATGTGTAAACAAACAAATCAGTGGTTCAGTAGGGCAAAAGAAACAGAGGTGAACGGGTTCAGCTCTGTCACTGATTAGATGTCAACAGACCCATGTCATCACCTGTTGACATGTGGGATCAACCAATGAGATGAAGGCTCTGGCAGAAAGTGCAGAAGGTCATGCTGAGGTGGGTGCAGGCTTTCAGTGCTGTAGTTTTTATATTTCTACTTCCACTCTTGTTATGTCTACATTTCTCAGTAAAATTCTTTGACAATATTGGTTTTATTGGTACCACTGTGGCTCAGAATCAAGTTGCCAGGAACGTGGTCAAGTATGGAGGCAATATTTTGATGTGCCAGGTAAATGTGACCAAGGCCTGGAGCCTCACTAGGTTTTTTCACTGAACGTTTGTACTGTGTGAAGGTAATTGAGCAAAACACAGCTGCCAATGAAAGTCTTAATCAAATCCTCAACAGCACGAGGAATAAATTCTGATGTTATTTATCAGTACAGACTTTTGTTGGTGGGATCTTAGTTGATAGTTAGAAAAATACTGACTATTATCAGACATCAAAAAAGTTGTCTGGGGAAAATAATTTGTTTACAATACTTCAATCAGCCATGATTCTGTAAATTAGCTTGAATAAAACGATTCATTCAGCTCAGAAAACACACAACTGAATGGACAGAGACCTCACACACCACACACACAAGGGGACAGTGTGTTTGTCCTGTTGCCTTCTGATCCTTATCTGGCAACATGTCGGTCAGCAGCTTAGCAACATCCTGCTTTTAACAGCACACACAAACACATGCACGCTCCCTGTTGATGAAGGCGTTTTCAGCTGCTTTCAGTGAATCTGCAGGCCAAACAAAAGGTGAATCTTCTGTCAACTGCACCGCTAATGGCTTCTAATGGAGTTACCTGTAAAGACACATGCATAAACACACAGGTGACACTCAGACGCTGCTGTCATGTTAAATAGTTGATGACTTGTTGTAGGTGTTTAGAGGTGTTGTAGGTGGTGCGGTTCCCATGTAACCATACTATAGTCTCCAAGCACAGATATTTTAAAAAGCAAGAACTTTAATGTCGTGACGTTCCAGGATTCTGCACAATAATCCAGTATCAAAGCAACATTTGAAACAGAACTGATGACAAAACACCATTGTAGTATAAATGAATAAATGAAGCTCAGGAGCTAATCTCAGTGACATTACAACACAAATGTGTGTCAAAACAGAATTTCTGGATGAATTTCAGTCAGTGGAAAAGCAGCTTAAAGGTTAGGAAATAAAGGAAAAGATGTTTTCACATCAGTCAGCGTAAACGTGATGCAAATGAATGTGTATTTATACTATGTATAAACAGTGGTGATCAGACTTGTAAATGCTGAACATTAGTCTTTACGTGAATGTAATCAGATGATCCAAATGTATGTGTGTCTCTGCTTCCCAGACATGTTGAAGGAACAAAGGAAAAAGGGATAAATGACACCTTCAGGTTACACTGTGGGTAGCACAGCAGTGTGGTGGTTAGCGCTGTCACCTCACAGCACTCTAGGTTTGAGTCCTGACCCCCCCCTTCAGGATAAGGAGTATAGAATAGAAGAATGGATGCATAGATAAAAATTACATTATCCTCAGTTGAAAATTAGTGAAAGCCATTAATGGAAGTTTTAAGGATTAAATGTTTAACAGCTTCAGCTGTGATTCTGGGAGACATTTGTCCATACACCTACACACGACAAGATTGATGGTCTGTAATGTCTTGATCTCACACACACACACACTTTCATACAGCTGGTAAATGAACTGGAAACAGACATGGACCTGTGTGTGTCTGCAAAAGCATTCTCCTCCTGCAGTTTATTCAACTGGGAATGTAATCTGTGTCTGTCTCTGTCACACACACATGCATGTATGCAAGCAGAGTGCCAGTTGATTGGCTGCAGACAGGAGGTTTCTGGTGTTTGTTTTAGTGATAATTTGATAGGCTGACCTCTGCCCTGCCCAAATGGACTCCAGCTCAGGTTTGGGTTGCCTGAACAGATGACATCACAAAAGGTTAAAGGTCATCTTACATAGTCCCAATTCTCTTTAGGAATTAGCTTGTTTGTGGGATGTTATGTGCTAGTGAAGTGTGAGTCAACACTCATGACATCAGGTTAAGGCTCTGAACTGGGGTCATTCAGTCAGTTGTTGGTATGTGTTTCTTTTTATATTTTATTATGGCTTTACATTCTTTGCACAGCACTTTGGCCTGATGTGCAGCTGATTTATACTTTTTACTTCAGTAAAATACAGAAAAAATGTTGTGATCAAGGTTTGTTTTTGCTTTCACTATCCTGAACTACACAAACTGTAAATGCATCTTTTCCCACTTATATTATATTATACATTTATGGCTTGAACCTGTGTGTAGTCCCTTGTGGCCCCAGTCCTCCCACCCATGACAGGAAAGTGATATGCTTGAACCTCCCTCAGCCTGCAGGACATTCTGGAGACCAAATGAAAAGTAAGCTCTGTGCATGCTGGGAAAACATTTCACATATGTCTGTTGAGCTGTAGCTGTTTTTGATGGTTTCACTTGGTGTCTGCAGGACTCTAATCCCAGCAAAGACAGATGCTCAGAGAGAAGACTCAGAAATATACTGTATGTGTACATAAAATAATGTACCAGAGAAATTCACATAGCGTTTTTGCCAGGACTTTGACAGTATTACCATGCACTCAAGTCTGTAACCACGAGGGAATCACAGCCTGAACTGTGTGTTATGGTTTGATACAACAGTTTCTCTCAAGTATGAAACTTCTTAAACATTTACATTAAAAGTTCTCTTAAAGCCAGTGAGCAAATCTGTAATGCAGATTAATTTTAAATCCATATGAGCCAGGATTTATTCTTACTTGATTTGAAAACTCTAATATTTTCTAAAAAACAAAGCAAAGCTTGATATGAGCTTTTGCCATGAGATACGGGGAATGTTTTATCTTCTGTAGCCTGTGGTTGAAGACAAATATGTTCATAAATATACTGGAGAAAAGGCCGGAATGTGAGTTTGTCGCATTAAGAACAGACTTCTGAATTCTCAGTATTGACTACATAGCTGGTTTAATTTTCAAGGATAGTTTTTCTTTCTGGAAAAACCTTATTATCTTGTTCATTTCCAAGGAAATAATGAACATATTAAAAAAACAAAAGCCTGTCCACTTTGGCAGAGTTTAATGCAAAGCAGAATGTTACTGACAACTGACAGCTCTGAAGCTGTTGCCATATTTATGATGATGGTCTATCTTCATATCTGTGTGTGTGTGTGTGTGTGTGTGTGTTTGTGCTGTCAGGACCCAGACTATACGTCACTACAATGGAGTTCAGAGATCGATCTTGCTGTGGCCTTTAGTCCCACTGGGACTTAACACAAATTTTCCAAATGATTTAAGGGCACAGACTGCAGGTTGTGATGAGTTTACACAGACCTAAAGAGGGGAGAAAAGGTTGAAGTGATGGAGAGGTGGTGTCATATTTCTATAAAAGCACTCCACATTTGTGCAGACTTTCCTCAGGGCAGGAGGGCTTATCTTTGTGTTGAGTCTGGATTCATTTGCATATGGCCCTCCTCCTCCCTTCAGATTGGCCCAGGCTCAGCCGGCATGTGGAAAGACACATCCAAACTTTCTCAGTTGGAACAAAACTTTCCTGAGTAAAGGAGGATGAACTGAGCGGCTGGATGCCAGCAGCTGAGTGAGTAACAGCAGAGAGAGGCAGAGACAGGCTTGAAGTGTATGAACAGAGAGAGGATGATATCTTAATTATAGGTTTCTATAATTGTCTGCTGACAGACGGGATGTTATTTACTTTACAAAACCAACAGTTTTCTTCTCTAGCTTGGTTGTGGTTGTTTTGTAATACAGAACTGTAGATACTTGGAAGAATAATTGGATTTGATCCTGTAATGTGATGTTTGCTACAGATAGACTATATTTTTCACTTCTATTTCAAAAGCAGACCATCTTAAAGTTATTTTAAACTTTTAAATAAAAAAGCTGTCTTCTTATAGTTGTGATTTTTTTAAAAATGTCAGTTTAGCCAGTAGACAGGAGATTATTATTACTTCACCTCATCATTATGCTGCTGGCTCTGCTTTTGGTTCTGAGTCTTTGCTCTGAGGCTCTCTTCTCTGAGTCATCATCAATAACTATCCAGTACCGGGTTTGGGAGGAACAGCCGGTGGGAACGCAGGTCGGCCGTCTGGTGGATGACCTCCGGCAGAGGGATGAAGGTGGCCCTCTGGAGGATTTCCAGGTGGTGGAGCACGGAAAAGCCCTTCCCTTCTCTGTCAGCACTCGAGATGGGGCCGTCTCCACCCAAGGCAGGCTGGACAGGGAAGAGCTGTGTCGAGGGTCGGACCTGTGCGAAGTGGCCTTCAGTGTCCTCTACAGGAAAAGTGGTGCTGTGAAGTGCCTGAGGGTTCATGTGGAGGTGATGGACTTGAATGACCATAGTCCTAGCTTCCCCAGTCCTCTGCAGGAAGTGGAGATCTCAGAGACAGCCAGCCTCAGGATGCGACTCCCTTTGGACCGGGCAGTGGATCCTGATGCGGGGCCCAATGGCCTTCAGACCTACTCTCTTTCTGTCAACCAACACTTTGCTCTGGATGTGACAGTTGCTCATGGTGGGACAAAACAGGCAGAGCTAGTGGTTATCAAAGAATTGGACAGGGAGGTTCAAGCCTCATTTGATCTCACGTTAATGGCGTGGGATAAGGGGAACCCCCCGAGATCTGGGAGCACATTAATCCGTGTTAATATTCAGGACTCAAATGATAACAGCCCAACATTTGAGGACAACACTCCCACTGTAGAGCTACCTGAGGATACAGCTCGTGGGACAACCATCATCAACCTGAGGGCCACTGACCCAGACCAGGGTGCCAATGGGGAGGTGGAGTATTCACTCAGCAAGCATACACGTACGGAAGTTCAGAGGTTCTTCTATGTGGATCCACAAAGTGGAGCTGTGAGTCTCAGAGCACCCCTGGACTATGAGGCTCAGGCTTTTTATGAAGTAATCATACAGGCCCGTGATCATGGACCCAATGCCATCCCCACACACTGCAAACTGCACATCAAGCTTAGGGATGTTAACGATAATGCACCGAGGATACACATGATTTGGACTCCACCCAACTCGCCTATGGCGACTGTGCTGGAAGGAGCAGTAGAGGACACTTTTCTTGCTCTGGTGATGGTCTCCGATGCAGATTCGGGAGAAAATGGCAAAGTGAGTGCACACATTCAGCAAGGATCTGGTCCCTTCCACCTTAAACAGATCCATGGCAACAATTACATGATTGTTACCAATGGAAGTCTGGATCGAGAGAAGGTTATGGAGTATAACATCACTATCCTGGCCCAGGATTATGGAGACCCCCCATTGTCCTGTGTTAAACACCTGCCTGTTCGTGTTTTGGATGAGAATGACAATGCCCCAGTGTTTTCCACCTCCATTTATAAGACTACCTTCAAGGAGAACAATGTTGCAGGCTACCACGCTCTCGAAGTCCAAGCACATGATGTTGACCTGGACCTCAGTGGGAGAGTGTCCTACTTCATACACAACTCCGATGATGTGGAAACTAACACACAATCTTTCTCCATCCATCCAACCAGTGGTGTCATAAGCATCCAGCGCCCTCTGGACTATGAGGAATCCCACACCTACTCTTTCATTGTGGGAGCTGTCGACCATGGTCATCCACCTCTCACCAGCACTGCGACTGTACAGGTCGACATCGAGGATGTGAATGACAACTACCCAGTCATCAAAGAGCCAAAGCCCAGAAAGGGTGTGGCCTCTTTAAGTGTACCTGTCAATGCAGACAAAGGGGAGATCGTGACCGAGTTGGGGAATGACATTGAAGAGACATCGACTGCTTTGCCAACCAATCACTTAGTCAGAGAGGGATTTGTTGGATTCCTTGCATCCACAATAAAGGCTGAAGACCCAGATTCAGGGCTCAATGGAGAACTCCAGTACCTCATTACAGATGGAAACAACTATGGACTTTTCTGGTTGGATCAAGCTACAGGCCAGTTGTTTGTTAACACCACCAATGCTACAGAGCTTATTGGGAAAACCTACAAGTTTGATATAGCTGTATCTGACATGGGCACCCCCAGCTTGGCCACCAAAGTGACTCTGGAGGTGACTTTTATTAACCTCAAAGATCACTTGAAGAACTCGTCACCTGGAAACCGTGGACAGCTAAGCCACACCATGATGATGGCGATCTGTCTAGGCGCTACGTGCTTGCTGCTCCTCCTGACTATTGCTTTGGTGACAACATTCTGTCGCCCTGAGAAACGGGACAACCGGGCTTACAACTGCAGACAGGCTGAATCAACCTACACCCGACATCCTCGGCGCCCACAGAAGAACATCAGAAAGTCTGATATCCAGCTCATTCCTGTCATCAGGGGACGAAAAGACGAGCCTCCTGATGATGATAGTGAAGCCCAGCCACTGGCTCCACCTCCAGTGATGCCAGATGATCATCAAGCTGACAGACAGTATACCTTAGCACCATCAGTCATGAACACAAGCTTCCATTCCCAAGGCTACCCAGAAGGGGATGCCACTCAACCTGTTACCCATCACTGCAGAACGCTTAGGAAACCTGGAAACATCGAACTTGATGGCACTTTGCCTCTGATGCCAGCTACATCATATCAGACTCTTCAGAAACCCAGGAACCCTTCATCATCCTCATCAGTCTCACATTTGAGCTCCTTGAAGTGCCAGACTCATCCTGAAGGGGAAGAGGCAGTGTCGCCATCTGCGAGATCCCAGGCGATGCTCAGGAGGCCCAAGAACTCGGAGGGAGGAGGAGCACAGGATGCAGAGCACCGGCAGATGCTTCAAAACCTGGTTCGACTGTCAATGGCCGCATTTGGAGATGCCATCGAGCTTTCATCAGCTTCCCCGGAAGTGCAGGTGAGTCCCGTACTTTTAATGTTCATGGTTACAAACATCATTTCATCCTTCGTTATCTTAAAACAGAAAGTTAACTATTTATTAGTTGTAATCAATAAATGACTGAATAATGTCATTTAATTAATGATCTTAGTCACATTCACATTTTCTTATTCTCTCATAGCAAGAATGTGTGTGTGTGTGTGGGGGGGGGCAGTTTTTCCTTAAAAATTCTTCATGCTTAGTGTTGTATTTTTATATGACTTATCAAAAAACATGCAAAATAAGGCAAAAAAGGCCCCATCGTGGAAGCAAGAGAAGAAGAGGAGTTTCTGCAGAGTACATCAGAGAATCCTGGGAAGCATGCCGACAAGCTCTCTGTGTCTGTTATAACAAATTTAAAACAGAATTCACTCAGCTTAGCATTCATTAAAACCATGAATTATACCACAAGGCTTAATTCATGATTATAAGTTGTGAAGTTGTTTTCAGGGCAGAAAATAACTTTACTGAAAGTTGAACTGACAAATGTACCCATTTACATTAACATTAATGTTTTAACTAAGTCTGCATGATTATTTTTTAATGTCTTCTTATTTACATTCTCCACTACAGCTTAGACATTAAAGCTAATGCACTGCTGCTGGCTCTCATTTAGATGTCATTTACTTCCATCTAAAATGTGTGATCACATTTATTTCAACATGTGCTTACAGTTAGTGTTGGTGTAATTAAGTCTCCCCCCCGTAGGCTTTGAGATTAATCGGAAGTGAAGTCCATTAGATAGTAAGAGCTGCAGCCAGCACCACACACTGACGAGCTTCCTCTACATTTTCACAGCAGCCTCTCTCCTTTTTCGGTCTCCTGTATACACATACTCCAGACAGCCTGAAGGCTGGAGCAGGGTGGAGGTGTGTGTGTAGGGGGGTTGGGGTGTAACTTGCTAAAGGAGGGCTGTGAAACCAAAAAGCAGCAGGTTTATGCAGGTGATCATATGCCATAGACAGTGATCCCCCTTCCCAAGAAACTCTACTGAATATCACAGGTCAGCTCCTCTTATGCCCTGGTAGATGGGGGATCTGAAGAGGGAAGGGAGGGGAGGGGGAGGGGGAGGGGAGACCAGTCAAAGTAAGATGTGATGTGTTGTAGTGTAAGCAAACACCACTCTGACACTGACAAATGACTCAAAAATCTGTTTTACTGAGCTGAGCTGCAGCAGGAGGAAAGAAAAACAGCTCAGACTAGAAACAGTGACTCTGTGTAGAGCTGGGTCCAGAACCAGAGCCCAGTCCGTTGACTACAGCTGCTGGATGTCCACAGACTTCAGCATCAGTCTGGTTCTGACAAACAGTTTTTTCAAACTTAGTCTCATCTGACTGATTTTGCAGACAATAATACAAATATGGAAAAACACCAGCAATATTCTTCAGATCTCTCATGACAGATGAATTTTTATCTGAGACAATATGAACAGACTCAGGCTAAATATACTGATATTCTTTGGTCAGGTAAAATGTTAAAATTAGAATATATTGGGCTGGTAGAAGGAAGTGAAGAGTTTTTTACATGAATTACTGAACAGATCAATATTTACTCCTTATGATTAGTCAAAAAATTGTTTTATAGAAATCTCAAGCATCATTTTATACAAAATTTCCCTCAACAATTGCCTGAATTTTTGGTTTGTTTGTTTGGGATTTAAAAGTTCCACGGGTTTGAACATTCCTTGACCAACAGGACGGGAGTTTGTAGAGGAAGAAAACCCATTTAGCTCTTCACAGTGGTCAGATTTGTTTTATATAAATAAACAAAAATTCTTCCAGAGTTTATTCAGTCAGTCAGACATGAATATTGTCTTGGCATCAGTAACAAAGTTTTAGAACTGAATCTTTAAACACTGTACTGAAGCACAAACCAGTGTCACTGAGGGCAAAAACGCGCTGCCAACGCCCAGCAGACAGAGAACAAAGAGCTTGGCCAAGTCTCACATCCTCACATGAGCCTTGTTAAAGAAAGGAAGAGGCCTTTTTCTTTTTGCCCAGCACCCCCAGTCGGCCCAGTTGGCACTTCTCTAGATTCAGACATTTCTCTCCTCCCTCGAGGTCACAGAGGGAGAGGCCTGCTGGATGCCTGGGAGGAGGGGGATTTACTGTTCACCTCTACCTCAACACACATGCACGCGCACACACAATCCACCCATATTTCAGAGTCCATCCTGGGAGGAAACCGGCCAGAGAAGAATAGGCTTTTACATGGAGACCATTTCCTGTCACTGCAGTAGCATGCACATGCAAAAACACACAAGTCATATACAGTAAAACAAAGTCATATGCAGTATCAGCATGTGAGCACACACGCTCACACAAGTACACCTTCCTGTGCAGTGTGTATCCGTCGTAACAGAGCTGTCAGCAGAATGCGAGTGGTGAGATGGACGCAGCTGCGTGGTTCTCACAAAGTGAGAAAAAGAAAATGTTTATTCACTTCTTACTTGAGCATTGCTCAAATCAGCTGCATCACTATTCACCCCCCTAAAGCGATACATCTTCCCTGCTCGCTAGTGCAGACTGACAGTCAAAACAAAAAAGTCCTCCTGTCCACACCTCTAATTGTCCATGAGTAATACCCTCCCAAAGGTCAGGCCAGTGCCTTGCATTGTCACTTGTTGCCTTTCAGGTGTGAGTATGTGGTTGCATCACAGCACCACATACTGTATATTACAGCCCATTTACCATGTACAAGTGTGAAGTAGGTTTACAGCGAGTGTTAGGTGGTGGGTCCAGAGACAGCCTCATGTTTAAAGTCCTCAGTCTAACACTCTCTCTTCATCTCTTCCTCCTTCCTCCTGTCCCTCCCTGCAGCAGATCTCCCAGCTCCTCTCGCTCCTCCGGCAGGGTCAGCTGCAGCCAAGGCCAAACTTCCGGGGGAACAAATATTCTCATCGCAGGTCAGTCTGACTCCTCCTCCTCATTATCTTCCTCATCTGTCCTTCATTCTCCTCCTCCCTCTTGTCCTTCTCTGATGTTGACTCAGCAAAGCCACAACAAAGCTCAAAGCTCCTTCAGCTTTCAAAGTATATTCTTAGATGTTTCTTGGTTTTATGTCATTGTCCAGCCAATTTTCATTCTAGACATCACTTGTTTCTATTAGACAGAACAATGTAAAACTTTTCATCTTTTATTCACTTCTTACTTGAGCATTGCTCAAACCAGCTGCATCACTATTCACCCCCCTAAAGTGATACATCTTCCCTGCTCGCTAGTGCAGACTGACAGTCAAAACAAAAAAGTCCTCCTGTCCACACCTCTAATTGTCCATGAGTAATACCCTCCCAAAGGTCAGGCCAGTGCCTTGCATTGTCACTTGTTGCCTTTCAGGTGTGAGTATGTGGTTGCATCACAGCACCACATACTGTATATTACAGCCCATTTACCATGTACAAGTGTGAAGTAGGTTTACAGCGAGTGTTAGGTGGTGGGTCCAGAGACAGCCTCATGTTTAAAGTCCTCAGTCTAACACTCTCTCTTCATCTCTTCCTCCTTCCTCCTGTCCCTCCCTGCAGCAGATCTCCCAGCTCCTCTCGCTCCTCCGGCAGGGTCAGCTGCAGCCAAGGCCAAACTTCCGGGGGAACAAATATTCTCATCGCAGGTCAGTCTGACTCCTCCTCCTCATTATCTTCCTCATCTGTCCTTCATTCTCCTCCTCCCTCTTGTCCTTCTCTGATGTTGACTCAGCAAAGCCACAACAAAGCTCAAAGCTCCTTCAGCTTTCAAAGCATATTCTTAGATGTTTCTTGGTTTTATGTCATTGTCCAGCCAATTTTCATTCTAGACATAATGACCATTTGTCATTACTTTACCCCAGAACATTCTGGCGTTTACAAAGTTTATTTTAACCAATGATCTGTGATCCTAATAGATGTGTGGAATTTAGTTATTTGACACAAATTAACTATCACTTGTTTCTATTAGACAAAACAATGTAAAACTTTTCATCTATATATCATTTTCAAAATGAAAGCCGTGAAACAACAAAGCAGCTGGGTTTAGTTTGTGTCTTGGCACAGTGAGATATTCACTTACAGACAGATCTGAAGATTTAAAACAATGCAAAGTTTAACTGTACGGACAAATCCTTGATGTAAATGTTGGTGGTCATAATGGGGCGGCACACCAACACAGGTGACTAAACACTGCTGACCTTGTAGAAACACCACTTGCAGCTTGACTTCAAAAGAGAGAGAGAGAAAATCTCGATCCTCCTCTTTTCCATCTCTCTCGTCTTCATCAGAATTCTGTTTCAGCGCCAGCTGGCTGCAGGTTTCAGGCTGTGATCTCTGCTGCGCTCTCTGATCAAACCGGGCTGCCTCTGATAGCAGCACAGCCAGACATTAATGGGCAATGTCACCCTTTTTAAGAACTCACAGATGTGTCTTATGAACCTGGACAGTGCAGTTTGAATTTGTTAAATCAGGCGTCTCTGCATAACCATTATATCCAACCAGTCTGATCTATGCTGAAGTGTGTGTGTGTGGTTGTTTTGTAGCAAGCTGGTGTCTTTTGCATGTAGTTTTACCAAGGTAAACCCAGCAGTCAGTGTTAAAGTGACTGCAGATTTGAACAATGTTATTGTTTACAAGTTAAGGTGGTGCAGATGCAGCATCTCAGCTGGATAGGCAGGGCAAAATTCAAGGTCAGAAAATTAACTGTCTGCGCATTTACTGTGCTGAACTCACACGCCAGCTGTGAATATAAAGCCATGGTCAGCTTTAGTAAAAGGTTCCAGGATATTTGCTTTTCAAGGTAAAAGCAGAGACTTGACAAGAGTCAAGCCTATCACCTGGTGGACACCTAAACTTACATTGTTTACACTCACATTCATTTTGGGGAAAAAACAAGAACCAGAAGTCATAAAATTTAGGGGTGAAAAATGATTTAAGAGGTTGGTTAAGTGAACTACTTCTACCTCAATGACTCCCCTCATTCCTGTCTTATTCAAAACGATTTGGAATAGAGCAGTAAAGACAATGCATGGCCTGGCACATGGGCTGGACTGTTGTGTTTCAATGGGGGGATTTCCCTTTATATTCAAGGTTGGCTAGTGACTTTAGTTGGGATTATGGCAACTGACCGGGAAGTATATGTAAGTCAGTGTAACATCCATTGAATTGTGTGTGAAGGCAGGTTACAGCAGCTTTATCTGAGTGAGTCACAGTCTGTGACAGGAAGCAGATACCTCAGCTTTGCCGTGGTGATGAGATTAAATCTGGCATCATCTCGACACACTCAGGGCACAGTTTCAATGCAAACACGCACACATACTGAACCACACCTGCGAAGACCTTTGACTGTATCTATAATGATGACAGATCAAAAAACATCTTTTTGTAGCATTCATTTGTGAGGACTCTGGGAGGTGACAACCACACAAAGCTGGCAACTACCCAGCAGCCACAGACCTCCAGGGGCCTCACAAAGCCCCTGGTTCACTCCACATCATTACTGTGTTCCATTATTATTGGATTAATTTAGTGTGGTTGGTTCTGGCCAACGGTCAAACAACCAAAAGGTTTACTGTCACAGAAGACTGGGAAAACTAACAAATATTCACATGTGAGAAGCTGGTACCTAGACATTTTCTGATTACTGGCATGGTATTGTATTTGTTTTTCTTTATCACATCCATGAAGGGTTCACTCACCTCGGTCTGAATGGCACTTCCTGTCAGAGCCTTCCAGCAGCGCCACAGCTCTGCAGGTTCAGAGGTGTGTCACAGTGGGTGTCAGTGGATAGCAGGGGATTTGTCACCTTAAACCTAGGAATTTTATCACCATTTTATCTCCTCACACAAAACCTCTGCCTGCATGCCTTCAGATTTACACTGTCTGGCGGATTTTAAATGGATAACAGGGGGGGTGAATTTAGCTTTTTTTTCTACATTCTATCAATTTATTTTAAATCAAAATGTAAGAGGGATATGTGATTTTTGGTTATATAAGTATTTTGACTCACATGTAACTTGACTTTATGATTATATATTGGTCTTTTACATGTGTGGGTGAAAAAACGTCAAACAAAAACACTGAGTGAGAATCTGAACGACTGTTTGGTCAAAATGGATGTTTTAAAGCAAAGTGATGAACACATCTTCCTTATTTGGATGGACAAACCATTTTATCTGATGACAGTGGAGTTGCACTGTCCATCTGCTTTTTGGGACGTTTGTTGATAAAACGTGTTTCCTGATGTCTGACAGATACGGAGGTCAGGACTGTTCAGACTGGCAGAGCACCAAAGACAGCGGGCATGGTGAGAGCGAGGCTGGAGACGTGGACTGGGAACCAGGAAGAGACTCCCCCATAGACCTTCAGCTGGAGGAGGGGCTTAACAACATACTCAACAATCCTGGTATCAGCACATACACACTGATGTGATCGAGGCTCATAATGGAGACTAGATTTATTGGCTGCTGCACTAAAATCCCTTCAATCACAGCTTTTGACAACAGCTAGATTAAATTACCAGCTGCATTACAATACTGAAAAAAGTCAACTGAATACACAGCAGAATTTATGTGCCAATTCAGGTGCTGGTCATGGCAGCATGCTACATCAAAGCTATAAGAAAACCACACACTAAGCCTTAATTTATTGGTTTAACCAACATTTCGACCACAACCATTCTTATCCTGGACAAGTCGAACGCTAGTGTCAGACAACCTTAACTCTCACAAGACTGCCTCTGAACTCACACAGTAGACTTGACTTGTTAGATGTTGGGAACATTGTTAAATGCAAGTTGTTAAAATGAGAATATTTCTCATCTCTACCCAACATATGATATGATATGAATGCCATAACACTGAGGTGGAATCAGTTTTACTGTTACCATGCTTGGCTAACTCGCTTCCATTTTCCTAGCGAAATCCAAACTACATAGTACAGGTTGTCCCAGCTGCTGAAAGTTAGAAAGAGAGGGACATCTTGACATCACACTCATCATTCATGATCATCATCATCGTCAGTATAGGATCTGCCTATTAGCTGCTGCTCAGCTGGTGTCACTGAAAATGTCCATCCAGAGGCTCAGAGTGTAGATGCAAACCTGCCCCCACAGTGCTTGCCTCTTTCTGATTTACCTCTGCAAAGTAAAGTGGTGCCGCTGAGCGTGGTGGTGACCTCCTGGTAAAACTCTTTGGTTTGTCAGGACAAAAGCAGGTGAACTACGACTCCTGCAGAACATACACACTGTCACTTACAATGAACACATGCCGACAAATGTGGAAAAACAGGAAGAAAGCAGGAAATAACACTGTAGTAGGTTATGCATCCACCAACACACGCTCCACTTGTCTGTGCCTCATACTACAGCTCATTATGTTTTTAAGATCCAGGCTGCTGATATGTACTGTATGTTTTTATTGGTCTTCAAACTAGATGTTTTTCTGCTAGAAATTTGAAATAAACTAGATGTTTTTCTGCTAGAAATTTCCTAAAACTGTGATTAAATGTCTCCTTTTTACTAGTGTGAATGTGTTATCAGCATTTGTCATTATTTTTGTAGTTTGTTAGTCATTTTACTTATAGCACGTCTTTTTGGATATGTTGTTATCGGCATGAGGCTGAATTCTAACGAGACGACTGTGGCACTGGCCAGTCCACTTTGAGCCGAGGCTGTGAAGTACAAGTCCATGTCGCTACCACCATCTTTCCCACCATCTGACTAAGATATTTTAGCTGCCAGACATGAACCACACATACGAGTCACCGTTCCACATTGTGGGCCAATACTGTGTTTCTGAGTGTGTGTAGTAGGTGTGTGTTCAACAGCTTCTTCCTGCTATTGTGCTGGTCAGAGCCTTGGGGCGAGTAGAGGGGTTTTTTGCCTGATGATGATAGCGTGAGCTTCACTTTATGAAAGAAGAGATAGAAACAAAAGAGTGTGTGGGAGTATGTTGTGCTGCATGTGATGCTTGACTCACCTTCTACCCCACAGTTAAAAGTGTAACTCACACCAGAGTGCGATGACAACTCAGTGTTATTCTGGAGCTTTGATGAAGCCGCCGCTCTCCCTGTTATTGTTCTGACCTATAACTGCTTCTTCTTCATGACTGTCGAGATGAATCATGCAAACACACATCTGCATCTTTGTTCAGCTCTGAAGATGATGTTATTGGTGTTCAGGGCATGAATGTCTGTTCGCTTCTTTATCTGGTTGGGCAGCGGTTGAGCTTTCAGGCCTTCTGCTGTTAAAATTCTTTGGTTTATGATGCTGGTGCTTTATAGTTTACCCCATCAATGTGCACAATTGTCTTCTTTAACACAAACGATTTTAAAATAGACATGTGATCTACTTTTGTTTACAGCTACATACTGTATGTGTGTAAGGCATTTTTAAATATGTACAGTGGTGTGAAAAAGTGTTTGCCCCCTTACTGATTTCTTATCTTTTTGCATGTTTGTCACACTGTAATGTTTCAGATCATCAAACAAATTTATATATTAGTCAAAGATAACACAAGTAAACACATCATGCAGTTTTTAAATGAAGGTTTTTATTATTAAGGGAAAACAAAATCCAAAACTATATAGCCCTGTGTGAACAAGTGTTTGCCCCCTAAACCTAATAACTGGTTGGGCCACCCTTAGCAGCAACAACTGCAATCAAGCATTTTCGATAACTTGCCATGAGTCTTCCACAGCGCTGTGGAGGAATTTTGGCCCACTCATCTTGGCAGAATTGTTGTAAGTCAGCCACATTGGAGGGTTTTCGGGCATGAACTGCCTTTTTAAGGTCATGCCACAGCATCTCAATTGGATTCAGGTCAGGACTTTGACTAGGCCACTCCAAAGTCTTCATTTTGTTTTTCTTCAGCCATTCAGAAGTGGACTTGCTGGTGTGCTTTGGATCATTGTCCTGCTGCAGAACCCAAGTTCGCTTCAGCTTGAGGTCACAAACGGATGGCCGGACATTCTCCTTCAGGATATTTTGGTACACAGCAGAATTCATGGTTCCACTTATCACAGCATGTCTTCCAGGGCCTGAAGCAGCAAAACAGCCCCAGACCATCCCACTACCACCACCATATTTTACTGTTGGTATGATGTTCTTTTTCTGAAATGCGGTGTTACTTTTACGCCACACATAATGGGACACACACCTTCCAAAAAGTTCAACTTTTGTCTCGTCTGTCCACAGAGTATTATCCCAAAAGTCTTGGGGATCATCAAGATGTTTTCTGGCAAAACTGAGACGAGCCTTTATGTTCTTTTTGCTCAGCAGTGGTTTTCGTCTTGGAACTCTGCCATGCAAACCATTTTTGCCCAGTCTCTTTCTTATGGTGGAGTCATGAACACTCAGCTTAACTGAGGCAAGTGAGGCCTGCAGTTCTTTGGATGTTGTTGTGGGGTCTTTTGTGACCTCTTGGATGAGTTGTCGCTGCGCTCTTGGGGTAATTTTGGTCGGCTGGCCACTCCTGGGAAGGTTCTCCACTGTTCCATGTTTTCGCCATTTGTGGATAATGGCTCTCACTGTGGTTCGCTGCAGTCCCCAAGCTTTAGAAATGGCTTTATAACCTTTTCCGGACTGATAGAGCTCCATTATTCTCTTTCTCATTTGTTTTTGAATTTCTTTGGATCTCGGCATGATGTCTAGCTTTTGAGGATCTTTTGGTCTACTTCACTTTGTCAGGCAGGTCCTATTTAAGTGATTTCTTGATTGCGAACAGGTGTGGCAAGAGAAATTGAACTCAGGTGCGATAAACCAGTGTTTTGACAGGGGGGCAAACACTTGTTCACACAGGGCTCTATAGTTTTGGATTTTGTTTTCCCTTAATAATAAAAACCTTCATTTAAAAACTGCATGATGTGTTTACTTGTGTTATCTTTGACTAATATATAAATTTGTTTGACGATCTGAAACATTACAGTGTGACAAACATGCAAAAAGATAAGAAATCAGTAAGGGGGCAAACACTTTTTCACACCACTGTACATCTTAATCAATGGGAAGGGAGCTGAGAGCCACAGATATGGTAGAGAAGTCAGAAAGTAGTGAAGGTCAGAATAAGACATCTTTGGTTCTGGGCTTTAATGGGATTTGTTGAAAACCTTTTTCTTTAACATCTTGTATTTTTGATTTTGGCCCCCTAACTAGCTGAACCCCAGGTGTTTTAGTATGAATTAACAAGCTTTAAGACATAAATCTTGTTAGTTAGGATACTTGGGTACATTTTAACCCTACTCTCTGCTGACAGTGACAGTCAGCAGAGAGCAGCAGCTCCACCTCTCATCCTCATATTACTTCCATTTGGTTTATTATTCTTTCAGTGATGCACCGAAGATTTATACCAGTTTGTAAAAATGTCTTCTCCACATAAGAATAAGGTGTAAAGTGAGGTTTTATTTACAGGTTAAACACAGGGTCAGACACCAACTTTGGGCTGAAACAGCAGACCGTTTATCTCTGAACGATTTGCTGAAACTCAATCTGCTCAGTAATTTAAAGAGGCTTTTGTGTTTGGAGGTGAAATACTGCTAAAACAAAGGGAAGACGGGGGGTGGGAGGCAGGTTAACTCTGAGGGCGGTCTGTACCACACCGAGTGTATGTGTGCGTGTCATTCTGTGTGTGTTCGTGGGTTAATTTTCTACATCTGGTTGTGGTTAGATGAAGGAGAATAAATACTTAGAATACTGCTTAGGATCCAGGTGAAGATGTCTTTGCTCAGGGAGTAGCTGCAGCTTCAGCTTTTTAAAAACACTGACAGTTTCAATCAAAGTGTTTAAAAGACTTAAAAGAAATAAAGAAGATGAACATGAGAAAAAGAATAGAGGTAGAAATAACAAGCTAACAATGATGGTAATAAACCACATTCTCAAAGTAATATGAAAATGCATTTTAAATATGTTCAGAGTTGTTTAAACTGACTATATATGAAATAAATGAAGCACTTTAATGCAATCTGGACACATGCAGCCTTGTCTCAGGTGGAACAGAAGACACTCCTCTTCACAGGTTTTCCTTTGTCCTGCTAAGCTTTCTCTCATCTCACCTCCCTAAAATAATTTTCCACATGCATGAGCTGGTTCCAACAACATGCTGAAAAGATCTGTCATGGTTTTGGCTTAAATTAGATCAAATGAAACTTTAATAGCTCTAAAGGGAAATCAAGTCACTGCACGGTCAGATAACACCACACAGCCAGGAAGAATCAGAGTAAACAGGATATAATAAGCATAAACCCAGAGAAAATGAAGAGTAACCAAAGTTGTTTGCTCACATTTATGTCCAATGGAGAGCAGGTTTTACATTAAACAAATACATGAAATGAAACGTTTGATCATTTACCCCCCGTCATCCATTTGTCTTAGCAGTATTTCCCCGAGTTCACGCCTCTGACAGTGACTGGAATGTCAGACTGGAGGCAGAGAGCTGGCCGGGAGGATTTTTTCTGGCATGATGGACATAATGTTTAGACATACGCGCGAAGCCTGTGGGATGCCATGGATGGCAGGAAAAGCTTGTTGACAGCAGTTGTGGCATTTCCTGTTTTTTGCTTCATTGTTGTCCAACAGTCAGAAGATTACATTCCATCTGTAATGTCTTAGAATTTTACTAACTCACTTTGCAGGGCACTTGTTGCACTGGACTTATTTCATAAGAGAGACAGAGAGAGAGACCTGGGAGGAAGAACAGACTTACTTGAATTACAGTAAACAAGGATATGACAAGACATAAGATCATAATATGCTTTTTGCCAGCGCACAAACAAATAGCTGCAATGTGAACAGCATGTAAACTCAGGATTGAGATGCCCAGCAGCAGTATTGGTTTGATCAACAGTCAGAGACCTGATGGTATTCTATTTACAGTGATTCAAAATAGAGATGAGCTGCAAATCCTCATATTTGAAAAGATGAAACCAGAGAATACTAAACTTTTTAATAGACTGACTCACAGATTTCAGTGCTGGATTTATTTTCACATGCTCTGCTGATTTAAAAAATGCAAAAACACTCAGTTTGAACATCTCATGTGAATCTGTCTCTGCAGATGACGTCTTCCCGGAGGTCAGTGACCCGGCCTGGATGGCCAGACTCTCGCTCCCACTCACTGGCGACTATCATGACAATGTTTTTGTCCCCAATGGGCCTCTGTCCCCTGACGGTGAGCTCCTTCCCTGTGAGGGCTTGGATCCATCCTCCTTCTCCACCTTTGGTAAAACTTTTGTCTTTTATTTTACTAAGAAAGAACATGAATATGTTGGTAGAACCTGATTTCACTGTACAGAAGCAGCAGCAGAGTGAGACCTCCTGTCCATTTGCCCTCTCAGGTAAAACTCCAGAGAAGGATGATGCCCTGGGCGGGGCCCTCCTGTCAGAGGTCAGCACACTGTTTGAGATGCTCATGACGCAGAAGGCCGACAGCCACCCTGGGCCACGGCCCGACGTCCTGTACCGACTCTCTGCAGCGTACCGGCGTTCGCTGGGCCTGGACACCGCCACCACGCCTATCGCAAGCAATGCACCAAGGAACTCTGGTTATACTGACAGGAGGTTGGGCCTGTTTGCACCCTCAGGACATAAGCAATAAATGTAACACTGGTGCTTTGAGCTGACTGCTGCAACTCAGAACAGGAAGTTACACAAAATGTTTCTTCTGTTGGGATTTTAGAGGCGTTAGGCGATACAATATTTAAATTTGATTGACTGCATCTGTAAATAAGGCAAATAAAACCTGTTTTTGTAGAATCAAAACTTAGAGAAGATGTGCCACAAAGGGACCAGACTATGTCTTCAGACTGAAGTGAGGGCCACACATAAAGATCAAGTCATGATGAAAAGGGATTTATTTGGTCCATTTTCAGAGCAGACTTTGTTAAAAAGTAACCAATCAGCAAGGTCAACTACACAAAAAACAGGGATCATGTGTTAAAAAACAAACAACATCAACAGGCAGGTAGACTACAGCTACAGCAAACAGATGCTACAGCAGCAGAGTGGAGAAAAGGATATGGAGCTGGTTTATATACTGAGAGACTAATGAGGGAATGAGAAGCAGGTGGGTGTGGAGGTCAGGTGACACACTGAGGGATCTACTGGACAGGTGAATAATGAAAGGATCTGCAAGGACAGGAGAGAAAAGTGACCAGGCATAAGAGAGTGACTGAATGAGTTTGTTTGGCGGAGCAGGGGTTTTTTATTGCTTATTTAAACAAATGTGATCATGACAACAAAAGACATCGTTACCTCCAGCTGAGGCGATGGGATGCCACTAGTGAATTAATCTCAATACACAGTTTGGCTCTCTGCAGATACAAAAAGGTGGTGATGTGTAAGTAAATGTTCAGTGAAACATGAGAGTGACAACAGAAACATTTCAGAGAATCCAGCAGCAGGGAGCTGTTCTCTGCCCCATATCACTTCACAAAATGGAGGAAAAAATGATCCTAAACAAGTTTCTTTGTTTTCTTCCCAGTGAGCCACCACAACCTGAGTAAGAAACACGCTTCTCAGGAGACACCAACTCTCTTGTGCCCCTTTGCAGCTAAGCACATTGACTTAGTATGTTTGTCACTGTCTTTTTGGTCAGAACACATTAATTCCCCGTGAGGCTTCAGGGTTAGTACGAACATTTCTGGACCCAACACGAATCCTCGTAAATATCCAAAATGTAACGCTTGTACATTTCATGGCTGTGGTCAGCAGTCATTGGGTCAGACAAACAGACTGATGACAGAACCATCCTCAGACCAACTTATGAGCAGGGATGTGTTAGAAATGGTGATACAGTTCTTGTTGCATTGTTTTTCCATCAATAACACAAGAAGTAACCAGAACAATTCAGGTTTAATTAAGAGTAAATGAAAGGAATGGTGGAAAACAACTTGAATGAATGCAGACAGATTAGAAC